GATTTTAATTTGCCTCAGTACAAGGATTAAATTAATCCTTGTACTGAGGCAAATTAAAATTGTAGAGCAAAAAGGTTGCAGATTTGAAATTTTCGAAACAAATTTTGCTGTTTTTGTTAGGCCAAAAACCTGGAACCACGTTTGAAGTTATTAAAGACATCAATCTCATGCCAAGTAATTGTCATATTCAATCATCTTAAGCGCTTGTACACTGCGCATAGATGAGTCTAACGCTTGGTAGCCCGCACATGAAGAGCGAACATCCTCAGAAAAATACTGCTTTCTGCTCATTCCGGTCACCGAGCTAACAGGTGCTAACAGCAACCAGAACTATACGTTCAGTTCGGGCGCGTGTGAGACATAGGCGTGCTTTAAAGTTTAGAAGGAAATATTTCGGTCACGTGTGGGCATAGAATATCCCCATAAATTTCCAACTTCCTAGCATGTCTGATTGGCAAAATTGCTTTTTTGTCACGCGAAATTTTTGACGTATTGGAACTCGCTAAACAGGCTTATGCCAAAGCTCATTTTATGCCTAAGAGATCTCCATTTATGGAAAACAGATATTTTGATAAAGCTTGAACGCTCTAGTTAGTTTAGCTCCTAAATTAGCATTTTGTCAGCGATAGAAAAATCTCTAGTTTGACGCATTTGTACGGAGACGTATACGTGCGTTAAAGTTAAATCTGAAATTATTAGCTCACACGAGAACACAAAATATTCCTGTGAAGTTTTAACTTCTATCTTTTCTGGTCACTAAGATCACTTTTTGTGAAGAAATTACTTTTTATGCAATTTGTGCAGTGTAACAACAGTACAAAACGCATATTGTCACGGGTTTGTCTGTGTGTATGTTTGTGTGTGTGTGCCACATTTTGTTCCGCACTTTCAACTCGGGGACCATAAAAGCTAGGCGGCTGAAATGTTAGTATAGTTTTTCCCGCCAAAGTTTGACGCGGCAAGTCTAAATTCAGCCTTTCTGCACCAGCTGGTAACAAGTACGGCCCCGTAAAAGTTTTGGCGGGCAAAACCATTATTTCGGAGACCAAAGAAGTTAGGAAGCTGAAATTTTATGGGTATGCTCCCTGAAAAAATGCGACCAACATGCGACCCAAAAAAATCTAGTTCAGTCTTCCTGTACCCTAGAGTAACAAGTGCGGCCCTGTGAAAGTTTCGGCAAGGAGAATTATTACTTCGGGAACTACGAAAGCCGGAAACTTGAACTTTTGTGGATAAGTCCGCCCACGTGCGACCTAGAGAACTTAAATTCAACCTTCCGTGCCTGCGGGTAGCGCGTACGGCCTCGAAAAAGTTTTGGATAGTAAAATCATTATCTCAGAAACCGCCGGGGCTAGGGAGCTGAAATTTAATGGGTAAGCCCCTTGAACACGTGCAACCCAGAGAAATTAAATTCAGTTTTCTCATGCGCTTGAGTATCGCGTACGGCTCCGTGAAAGTTTTGGTGGAAAATTATCTCGGAAACCATGAAAGTTAGGAAGCTGAAACTTCAGGACGATATTTTCTGTCGCTGCAGGTATCTCGCGAACTCAAATTTAGCTCCCGGGCATGCAGAGATCTTGCGTAAGACCACGTGAAAATCTTGATGTGAAGGTCACTAGCTTGAAGACAGAAAACTCGAAAACTGAAATTTGGAAAGATGTTCCGGTTTCATGAAAAGTGTAATTTTCAGTAGGAAAATTTTGCACCTTAGGAGCCAGACAGCATATCAACTATTTTTCCATACACGAAAGTTTAGTAAGCAAACGTGCACTGGGCTCGATTGCGCAAAACTCATGATCGTACCGGCTACCCTGGTGCGCTTCGCTATTTATTATGGTTTAAGGTTCGTAATTTGAGATCGAAATGCATACGAATGATAATATTAAAACGCAAGGGTCACACATGGAGTGGACGTATACTCCCAAATTTTCAGTTTTCTAGCTTCTCAAAAGTTTCAAAAAAGTACGAGCAGACAAACGCACTGAACTAAAACACACACACACAAACAGACAGCCCCAGCCAAATGTGTTTTTGCACTTGCATAATATGCTAAGACTCATAAAAACCAGGAACCCAAGTAAAAACACATCAGGCTTGCCGGCACGATCATGCATTTTTGCATCAGACTTAAAGTACTGCATGAGTGGTTATTGCTTTACACCTATCTTTTGTGCTCACCAGCGTAGATCACCATAAATTTCTTAATAAGCTGAGATTCTCTTAATAAGCTTAAATAAGCTAAGATTTTCCACAAATAGGCCAGCAAAAAAGCGGAATCCAACTTCTTCAAACTTAGAACTGCGACTTTGGATAAGTAAGAATCAGTTTTGCGAACATACTTGAAATTTGCCTTTCAACCGTGCGAACAGTTTTAGACAAAATTGTACAAAAGCATATGTTCACGTCGATTCTCTGATGCACGCATCTATTTGTTGGTTCAGTTTTTCACATCTTTTTTACTGCATGGACAATTTTGGCATTACTGCATCGGCAAAAAGAAATTTTTCTCGCTTTCCTTTCTCTCGACTAATAGATTTTTGATGCATCTTCGAGTTTCTTCAAATGTCCTTTAACTACAAAACAATGCTCGACCTCTGCATCGCTTAAATAATCTTCTTGGCTCTTTCTTTCTCATTTTCCTTTCATTCTTCCTTACTCAAACCCCTTTTTCTCTTCCCCAGTCCTGCGCCTTCTTTTTTCGTTTCAAACGCCGTTAATTCAGTGTCAGTGCATTTAAAATTTTTCCATACATCACTTTTTGAGATAACCCGACAATAATCTCCTGCTAAAATATCGCTAGAACAGGAATTTAAGATATGTTTGATTATCCCTGCCCAATCTTTGCTCTCTCTCACACTAACGAACAAAATGGTCGGATTTCAATAATCTTTTGATACTTCTAGGTGCACGATTATGTATTTATAATATGCTCAAATCAGTTGCGTAGGTTCATCAACAACTTTCATTTTGCTGCATTATAATTTCGGTTGCTGTGCATTCGGAGGTGTCGTCCTGCGCAACATGTGCAGGAAGGGAGGAAAAATGACCTCCGTGTAAATTTCTCAAACACAACCCTCTGACTGTAATTGTTGGAACAACGACAACATTTTTTATTTAAAAAAATTA